CTTGTTTGGACAATAGGATATATCGACTTGTTTGGACAATACGATATATCGACTTGTTTGGACGATACGATATATCGACTTGTTTGGACGATACGATATATCGACTTGTTTGGACGATACGATATATCGACTTGTTTAGACGATACGATATATTGATGTATCGCTCCACTCCTAGGTCTTATTAGAACCAGTCCTCCCAACCCTGGATCTGTCAGCGTTTTACTGACCACTTCACTTTGTTGTCAGTGTAAACAGCACAAACAGGATTTAACTGCAGCAGACCCAGTGTGGACCCTCCTAAACAAACAAACAAACAAACAAACCCTCAGATGCTGCTTTAAAGCCAAACATTAAAATCCACATCTGATTAACGAGGCCTTCGTTACTCAGAGAATCATTTGTTGCCACCAGGAGATATCAGGTTTTTCAAACCTGACGAGTATAAAAGTCCCGTCAGATATTAAACCTACATGTTTGATGTTGTTTCATGTCTGGAACAGAACCTGAGGAATCTGCTCGACTGGAGCATTCAGTTCAGCAGAGGTGGATCCTGCTTTACGACAGCTCTCCTCTTATCTACCGGGCTGATAGCTGAACACTCAGCACCTTGCTTTTAATCATCTACCTACAGATTTATAAATCAAAGTGCAGAGGACAAACTGTTTTCTGATTAAAGTCACAGCCTTACACGAGGAAAACCCTAAAAAATTATTGCAGAACGTCCTCGATAACCATCATTTCCTGGTCACTTACTTTAGAGTTTGGATTTTTTTTTTCATAAATAAACACCAGTTTTCAACCCTGAATAATAAAAATAATCATCACCCGTTTTAAAAACCATTAAACTGATTATTTTTCCACTTAAATCACATAAACAGGAATTAAATTAAGGAAACTAATAATTCAGATTTTAACTTTGCAAACAATTGTAATAAAAAAAGAAAAATTTCAAATTAACGGTGTAGACATTCTTTAAAAATGCGTACTTAACCTGCTGAGGAACATCTAATTAAGTTTTATTCAAATTCATCCAAAGGTTCAGGAGATATTTTGCTAACATATAGATAAGAGATAAAAACAGATAAATAAGTGCAACATAAAGATCAATATTAAATTTAAGTTTTGATGACAAAAAGATTTTAATAAAATAAACAATTATTTAACAAATATACTTATTTTAGGCTCAATGTGTTGCATCATAAACAAAAACAACAAAAACAGTTAAAATGACTAAAATCAAACAAACCAAACAAAATATGAATTTCTTTACATTTTCTGCTGCAGACTGAATAAACTGGTTGCTCTGGTTTATTTAGCAGATTTATCAGTTTATCACTCTGAGCTGCTCGATTTAAGACAGTTAGCAGATTGTATTAAAAACTGAGGAAACTGAAATGTGTTGATGTGATGGAGATATTTAGTCGCAGATAAATGTCATTTTGTCGTCAACATTGCAGGGCAATCTAATTTAAGGAATGAATGAGGCAAACTATCAAATTTATTCAACTTTATCTTGATTGTTTTTGTTTCCCCAACAGAAACATAAAAACTATCAAACTTATAGTTTGATTTTAGCTCGACCTGATGAACCTGATGAACCAGAGCTGCAGCTGAACGTGGACTTGACGGGAGGCGGGGGCCAGCATGGAAATGTGGCGCAAAAAGAGATTTATGCAAACTCTGTGCAGTGAAACACGCCGACAACTAAAACTAAAAATTAGGTGTAAAGATTGGTGCGGCTGCAGGACATGATCTCTGGTTGTAGTCTCTCCTCTCCGCGGGGACGAGACAAACCAGTTTTCTCCTCCGTCCTCATCTTTTCGCTCCCAAAACTTGTGAATCATTCATCGACGCTCCGCGGCCGTCCACACCCATCCAACCCCCAACCACACAGGTCAGCCGGATCACCTGCCTGCCCCTCCCTGCCGCGCTCCTTCCCTCCTCGACAGCAGTTACACAACCACCGGAGCTCCTCGCTCCCCTCCCCTTTGATCAATACAGCAGGAGGAGGAGGAGGAGGAGGGGGGGGGGGGGGAGTTTCTTCTTCTTTATGGAGACAGAAAACGCCCAGTAAAGTCAAGAGAGACTTGGGCCGTGCACCTGTTTCTCACCGAGTCCCACTGCGATGTTAAAACAACAACTGCAGCTCAGAAACCAGAACCAGGAGGACATTTATCCTGACGTGTTAGCCTTTAACGCTAAACTTCCTGGAAACGAGTCAACAACTCGTTCAAAAATTATTACAGGTTTGAGAGCAAAAAGATGAGAGATGATTTGTGATGACATCAAAGGCTGGCTCGCTTTTTAAATGTGGCTTATTAAAAACAAAAAAATTATTACAACTAAAGAAATGTTTTTTTGAATGACGGTAAATTGCTGAAGAAGCAAAAGTGGAATGCTACCTTAAAGCTAAAAAGTAAAAAACCTACCTTAAAGCTAAAAGAAATGACATACAACCATAAAACAAAAAGCAAAAAGCTACCATAAAGCTAAAAGAAGCAAAAAGCTACCATAAAGCTAAAAGAAGCAAAAAGCTACCATAAAGCTAAAAGAAGCAAAAAGCTACCATAAAGCTAAAAGAAGCAAAAAGCTACCATAAAGCTAAAAGAAGCAAAAAGCTACCTTAAAGCTAAAAGAAGCAAAAAGCTACCTTAAAGCTAAAAGAAGCAAAAAGCTACCTTAAAGCTAAAAGAAGCAAAAAGCTACCTTAAAGCTAAAAAAG